TGGGAACGCTGAGGGCTCAGGGTTCTGACGGTGTAGGACAGTGTAGGGTGTTCAGAACATCAGAATTATGAGAGGGTGTTTGAGGGCGGGAGTGCTGATGATTCTTGGGAAACACCTCAATAAGCCTTGAGCCCTGAAAACCCAAAGGCAAACATCAAGAACCCGAACGCCCATAAAGGGCTTTGAGGTTCGTCTGAGTTCACCCTCTCCCTGACCCCCCACTCCCCCCCCCCCCTCGCCCCTCGCCCCTCCCCTCCCAAGGCCCTAAACCCAAAACCCTTAACCCGAAAGCCGAACCACCTACTGCCCCCTGAAACCGAGCTGCAAAAAGACCAAAAGCGTGTGTGTTCGCTGCTCTCCATTGAAGGAGCCGAGCCTCAAACCCATGAAGCTGGAGATGTAAGGGGGTTTGGGGTCTCGGCTTGAGGAATACAGCAGGAAGTGGCGTTTGAGGAAACGCTATTAGAGATGGCCTGGTCTTGCAAGGGCTTAGGAATATTCAGAGTAGGGTTCTGGGGGGTTATTAAATTCCAAAGGGACCAGAAGCGAATATGATGAGTAATCATTCCGACCCATATTACATGCCGCAATCTTGAAAATGGAATTCCTGGCACACCAGAAGCCCTTGTCTGAGCTACCAACTGTTCGAGAAAGAAACCATCCGAATCTAACCCCAAACCCTAAAGTCCCACGTGCTTAAGAATCCCCCCAAAAACATATACATATACACGAACATTCTTCCTTATAGGGTAATACAGGGATCATTATTCTGTGCTTCTTGACGGGGCTATTGAGCAAATGGTAGCAAAGTGCGCGCTGCAGGGTGTTGGTGCAGCATCCGATCCTGAGGCCTCAACAGCTGGAGATTTCTTGATATGGGGTTTATACGAATATAGGGGAGCCCTAAAATATATACCCCCAAGTAATAGGATTTCCTTTTTATAAGGACCCCCAATCAGGTAACCCAAATTTCGGAAACCACCATATGGGGACTGAGGGGGTGCCAGCCAGTGCCTACAGTGCCGTAGAGCTTTCCACCAACTTGAAGAGGTTCTGCGCTTTTGGTTTAAAGGGTTTTGGGGTTTGGGCCTTATCGAACTGAATCTCAAATGCAAAGCTGTTTGCAGTCCAGCGGCCTATCAGGCTCTTGGTGCGTGTCCATGTGCGCCCTGAGTGAGGTCTGCAGGGCCCTAAACCCCTCAACTCCACGTCAAGCTGTCGGGGGCGGAGTGAGGGACTGGCATTGCTGCGTAGGATGCAAGCTGTGGATGATACGATGTGCAGTGGTGTTTCAGGCTAGAGGTCTGTAGGGTCTGTTCGTCTCGCGCCGAATAGAGGTCACGGATCGCCTCCAACAAACAGATGCCGTGTAAAAAGACGAACACGGATCCTCTCAAAGGTCGTGTGTACTTTTTGGAGGCAGCATGGGGCAACCTAGTAGAGGGATATGCAGACACATCCAAGGCTGAATTTTTTGGGGTACTCTTGCAAAGCTTCTCGATGCTGTAGAACTAAAGGTGTCTAGGGTTGGTGGTTCAGTGAAGCTGGCATAGGGTTTCGGGCCTAGGCCCCTGATACCAAAGACCGGTATTCCAACCCCAAATCCCAAACTGAAGACCGCTGCAATGAAACCGCCAGGAGCCTTGCATCTAAAAGACTGAAGCCTTGAACTTTGCGAGGCCGCTAAAAAACTGTTTGCGGCCACTGTTCTAAGTCTGCAAACGGGCTTAAGGTGGTTCCTAAACCCGAAAAAAACCAAAACCCTAAACCCTTCAGGGAGTTCGGGGCCTGTAGTACTGCCCTGGTGTGTACTTCACCAGCTGCAGCGGCTCGACGCACTCCGCCTGACATACAGTCTTCCGCAGCAGATAAAGTGACAAAGCTGTGGCTGCTGTGCGGGTGACACCGGCACACATTCAGGAACTAGGTTCCTTGTAGAGCTTAGGTTTAGGATTCTGGTTCCGTGTGTGTCGGACACTAAAATTCTTGCCATCTTGGAAGGGGCCTCTGCAGACATTTGTTGCGGGAACGAGATCCTCTTTGACGACAAGTTCTTCGGGTGTCGCAGGGATATTTCAGATCAAGGGATGCTGGAAGGGTGGCTCGGTTTAGGGTTTAGGGTTTCGGGTAGCCCTAAACCCTAAAACCCTAGGGGCCGACGATTAGTCAGGCTGCAAGATGTCGGGCCACGAAGGCCATCCAAGAAGTGTTGACAAGTACTCTATACTTCTCTTAGAACCTTGATAAACCAAAGCCCTCTTGCGGAGGGTCGGACGCTGAATCCTCGGTCAAATTGCCTTGATCAGGTCTTTGGCGCCCTTTGCCTCCACTCTAGATTGATCGAGAACCGGTGCCCAACAAAGCCAAGACCTACCGCCACCTGACCCGAATCTGGCTTGTGGATTTGCATCAGCCGGAGTTCCCAAGTGTGCTCCTTCACCACCACTATGCTTGGACAAGAATCCTCGTCATGAAGCCAAACTAGGAAAGAAGTCACCTCCCTTTTCGCGCGCATCCTCGCGACCCCTCACCCATCCATGCCGCAGCGCCAACGTGGTCATGGAGGTCTGCCAGGACCTTCCGTGGAGATTGAGATTAGGGCCTTTGAACCCTAAACCCTAAACCCTAAACCCTAAATCCTAAACCCTAAACCCTTGGGGTTTAGATGGCCGGAGGTCTCGCATCCATCAAGAGTGTGCACGAACATATCCGACACAGCTGGGTCATGAATTCCCATCAGAGAAGGTACTCTGGGGCATAATATTATATAACCCTAAACCCTAAACCCCAAACTCCAAACCCTAAACCCCAAACCCAGCCTGGTGTGGTCGAGGATGGTGGCCGCCCTTCGCCAAAAGATCTCAAGCGCGAGGTGCCGATGTAGCCGCAGTTCACCTTTTCAAGAGACGGTTTAGGGTTTAGGGTTTAGCGGTTTAGGGGTTTCGGGTTTAGGGTTAAAGGAGGGACCCTTGTAATGGACCCTAGCAGGGCTATTTGCGGGGTATTTAGGGGCCACTAGGTATTTAGGGACTATATAAGGTATATACAATGGTTATAGGGGAATGAGACTAAGGGTCTCTTCTAGGGGTCCCTCCTTATACCCCTTATTCCTTCCTGGCACAGAGCGCAGCATCCCAAATCCTAAACCCCCTAAAACCCCAAGCAGACCTTCAAAACGACTGGAATAAACCCTTTAATAAACCCTAAATCCGAAACCCCTACAGTAGCGCACCCTAAGCTCTTAACGACCCTTCAACCCAAACTCACTTTCAAAACTCCCCAAACCCTTTGTGAACCCCAAACCTGAAACACCCACCGGGAGAGGTCAGCACCCTCCAGCCACCTGAAGAACGTGAGGCCGGCCTTAATCTTGACTCTTTTTGTGTAGGGTTTAGGGTTTAGGGTTTAGGGTTTAGGGTTTAGGGTTTAGGGTTTAGGGTTTAGGGTTTAGGGTTTAGGGTAAGGCTTCAGGTTTACGGTTTGGGGTCTGAGTCCAGTGTTTTTGTAGGGTTTGGGTTTAGGAAAGGCTTCAGGTTCAGGGTTTAGGGTCTGCGTCCAGTGCCTAGGGAATTCGTGGTAGAGTTTAGGGTCCAGAGGTGACAGGGAATTCTGAGTAGGGTTTGGGGTTTCGGGTCAAAAGTGCTCAGGTACTTCATGGGTGGGTTTAGGATCCAAGTTTCAAGGACTTTTTAGTAGGGCCACGGTCTAGGTGTCAACGAATATTGAGGAAGCCTTAAGGTTTGGCGTTTATGGTCTAGGGTTTAGGGCTTGTACAGTGTTTGGGGAACCTGGGAACTAGAACCTAGGACATAGTTTCAGGAATTGTCACGAAAGGACACAGAACGAGACCCCTAACACACGATGATGCTAGTGGATTGAACGCGATCTCTTCTATTGGCTAGAACAGAACATTGAGTAGCGAACATGGATGAGTATAGAACGACATAAGACGTGAGAAACACTAGCATCCAATGTGAACCTGGAGAAGGCGTAGATGGACAACTGGTATTTTTCCATCGAAGCGCCTGCAAAGATAAAGGACGGATGCGATGCTATGATTACTGGACGTCAGTGATGGCTAGTATGGTTTTTTATCGAACCAAGAACTCCAACAGGCAAAAAGGGTATTGGGCGATCAGGGCACTTGTAACACAAATTACATGTAGGGCAGATGCCGCAGAGTTTTTGAGTACTTAAAACAAATTAGTTGGTGGCGGGCGCATAGATATAATTCAAGCGTAAGGCCGAGTCTCCTAGCTAATATTACATGCAAACTTATAGATAGATATGCAATTGGCATGTGCCGGTGAACGCCCAAGTGTAGCGCTTCGGGTATAGGGTTGAAGACGCTTTTTCTTGGGCGGATAGACTGTCACGATGGGTATTTGGGTGGTTAAAGCCCTAGAACCTTCAACCCTAAACCCAAACCAAGCTTTCCGAGAACCAGGCGCATTCGGCCGGTGGCGTTTGTTGCCGCAGTCCATGAAGTGGACCTCGTCCTGGCGAGGCTCGTACTTGTAAAAGCCTATACTTCATCCACTGTAATGTCTTATAACGCTTTAAGGCCAAGCCTACCCCACCTCATCTACCCCCCAACTCGACATAACAAGCAAGGCATGTTTCAGAGGCATTTGGCCTGATTTTGGGTTGGGGGTAGTTAAGACCGGGCAGCCCAGGATCGAATAAGTTGCATCAAGGAACTCTTCGGGGCAGTAACCCCAAATCAAGATGAATGCATCAAGTAAAGACATGGAAGCCCCACAAGTTAGCAAGACCTTGAACACAGATAGACCCTGAGGCCCAGACAGACTTGCACAGAAACCTCAAATGCCCACCCAAGTTATGCAGCCCTGGACTTGAAAGTGCCTTGCTCGCAGGCTTGTGTGCGCGAAGGTCACGACGAGTGGCTTTAAACCCACTGCAAGCTGCGCCGTTCTCTCTGCAAAACTCCCCACTCTGGCACGACATCCCCATCCTGCGCTCTCATCATCAGTGGCAAGTCATGCCCACCGCGCAGCCACAGACTGCAGGCCGAGGAATCTTCCGATGTCTTGCGCTGCACAGATGGTGACCGATACCTGGGCTGCTGCATATGGTGGTTGTCAAGATTATGATCCCTTTTAAGGTACTCTAAATATGAGGTGCCGTATCATAACAGGGATCCAAAAAAAAAGGGACCAGCATTTTGACAGCCACCCATATGAGAATTCACCTGCGTACCGAAAAAAGCCACACCTCCAGTTCTGGAGCTCAGGAACCCTTTGAGGAACACTTTGAGGACCGCCGCCCATCCTGAACCTCGTAACTGACGCTTGGGGGTGTAGGAGCTCAAGGTTTAGGGTTTCAGGGTTTAGCTACAAGTACTTGCGTTTACGGCCAGGATCCCATAGTGTCCTGAGCTGCGACATCGCCAGCATCGCGGGAAGACATGGAAGAACCGAAGAGTCTCCCACAGCACTTCCGCAACCCCACGCGGCCCACCCTACCAAACGCAAGCCAGAAGAAATTTGGAACGCAAGCCAGAAGAAATTTGGAGGTACACACGATGCTAACCGCAGTGACATTGAAAAACTCTTTCTACCTTCTGTATGTCGTTGTTTCTTGTGACCGTTCCTTGGCCAGGTTTGCGGCAGCCTGTGCTTCAATCAAACAAAAGCCACTGTTTCAGGGATCCAGAAACGCGTTTAGGATCTTTTCGACGTGGGCTGCCTGCCTTCAGTTTTCGCACAGTACATCCGCGCTGCAAACCCCAAACTGACTTTCTGCCTTGCCTAAGCCCGAAGCCCTTAAGCTGAAACTGTGTACTACGTACTTGAAAATCTTGATAAGCACATCTCCCCCCAGCGCAGAGCCCAAATCCGAGAAATCGCGTGACATGCAAGCACTGGCGACCCAACTCTTGCTAAGCCCGAACTCCTTTAGCCTTAAGCCCTATACCCAAAACTCAAACGAATGCTGGAAGCCCTACGACTTACAAGATATCCAGAGCCCAACTCCTCCCAAACAGTGAGCTGAGTTGCCACTGACGCAAGCAGGATGAGCTTCAGTAGTGTGGTTTGCGTCCTTTTGCTAGATCATGGGCAGAAAACAGACACCCCCAAACTATAAAATGATTAGATAAGTTAGTGCTCCAGGGATCTACTTCGCGGGAAGGTTAAACGTGTCATGCTTGGGCCCCGTCATAACCAGAACACCTTTCACAAGATGTTGACTACGGCATAGAGTGAGTCCATCTTCGTGGAAGCAACAATAGAATCAGAAAGAGTTTTGTGCTCACCGTTTCCATCGGCGTACATCGCAATATCGCAATGTCGTCCCATGCGTTTAAAGTCCTCTCAACCAGCCAATGAACCTACCCAAAGTCTGCAAAGCCTCAACTACAAGGTCGGTCCCGCTTAGCCGCTTGCTTTTCGCCAGGGCCATGAGGGGTGGCGCGCAGCCCCAAAGCAGCGTCACTGGGTAGGCCCCTGACTGCGATCGGCTTGCCAATCCGGCTTCCGGAGCTCAAGAAGGTTACAGCATGAAATCGATCCAACACGCATGGGAATGTACTTTCGCAGTAGGGCCTGGGGTGATCTGGCCGGGTTCAATCTCGCTTCTGTTTGGACTTAGGGTTCCTGTAGTGTCATTTGGATGCCTTGTCGGTTTGCTTGGCTACATGTCTCAAACTCTTCAGATGCGCGAGCGCTGCTGTAACCCAGTTTAGATGGGACTAAGTGCAGCATGTCAGTGGCAGCTTCCTGGTAGACAGCGAAGTGAGTCCCGGACCCTCTCCCAGAAGCGCTAAAACAATCACTTCTTAAGCTGTTGGGCCAAACAAGAAACCTGACGCACAAAGTCCTAAACCCCGAACGCTCAGTTTGTGGGCCTGCGAAATCGATCGCGCCAAAGAAAGCATTTGGCCACAGGCTGGCGACCGCTGGCAGCACCGATGTGGCAACGAAGGCAAAGGCCGATACCCGCTTCGGTACTCCGTCGCCTGGGGCAAGTCGCTAGTGTGGAGACTGGGGGGGGTCAAAGTTTACAGTCCCATTGGGTCATGGGGCCTATTTGGGGTCCTTTTAACCCCAGGCCTTCCTTCAGTGGGCGTTGGTGTGGCTGTTCCGAAAGCACGATCCAGCAAAGCAGTCATCCGCGCAAAATCCTCGCTGCAAAAACACGATCCTCAACCCGAAGCCCTGTACGTCTGAATCAGAAAGCCCCCTCAACGCCCCGTATGAATAGGACTTCACGCATCACCTTCAAGCAACATCTCGAAGAACGTAGTCCTATCAACAGACAAGCCCAAACGATTCCAAGAGCCATTCACCCCCGCGACCACGACACATGACAACACAAACATGATGCCCCAAGGCCCTGAACCCAAGACACAGGAGCCAAAAGCTCCAACACCCTGAGCTCGATGCCACAAGCCGCTTCAAGCAAGTCTCAACCCTCCTTGAAACCCTACGCCTGTAGACCTTGAGTCCGAAACCCTAAACCCCTGAGCCCTGGGGCCGCAACCCTAGAACCATAAATCCTACAGATTGTCAACCCTAAACCCTAAACCCTAAACCCTAAACCCTAAACCCTAAACCCTAAACCCTAAACCCTAAACCCTAAACCCTAAACCCAAGTCCGCAACAGCCCCCCCCAAAACCTGAACCCGGAGTCCCCCCTTCCTCCAAGTAGCTGAGGAAAGAGCGCAACGCCAGGTTCGTTCCCAGGATTGTTGTGCAAACTGCGCAGCAACCTGCACACGTTGTGTTCAGAGTTAAGAAAGTGAAGGGTTCAGAACTTACAGGGTTTACACGGCTTCGAGGTTAAAGTGCTTAGTCTGATTTGGTCTAGAGTCTAGAGAGTTCAGAGGATGTGAAGGCAGATAATGGCGTACAAGGGTTTTGAAAAGGCTTCGGTTCGGGCCAAAGCGTTCACGGTCGTGGAGCCCACCATGCTTCTGCTGTTTTCTGGGATTTATGACTCGAGCAGTGCCATTTCGTTACAAATCCTTCTACTGTAGGTGTTTAAGGTTTCCCCTTGCGAAGTGGTACCCTGAAGGCCTTTCGAAGCGACGATCCCCCCAACACCTCGAGCCAGTGCGCACTCTTATCACGCGTCGAGCCTCCCAACCGGAAATGCGCACCCCGACCCTTAAGCCACTCAAGCCTCCAGACCCCTGAAACGGTATGGCTGTGCACTAGACACACCCCAAGCCTTGTATAAACTCTGTCTAAACTGTATAGAATCTCGGGACTTCCTAATTCCTGAAGCAGGTTGAAGACCCTCAAGACCAAGATGCCAAGCACAAGAACCGCCGCAGAGACCAGTCCGCCACGTCCTCATCTCACTGTCGAATCTCTCTCTTCCTCATCCTCTTCCTCTGCTTCTTCTGCTTCTTCTTCTTCTTCTTCTTGTTTCTCTTCTTCTTCTTCTTCTTCTTCTTCTTTTCTTGTCTCTCCCTGCTTATTTGCCTCGCCAACACACATATGTAGGAATGAAAAATTGCCTTGTTCGTGGGTTTCGGAAGCTCAGGGCTTAGGGTCTGGGAGCCGGCTTTGGGTGGGGCACCGGGGACTGCACCATGCGCTCCAGGCTCCCAGTAGCACGTCCACGGGGTCCGCGCGGAGGCCCTGGACGAAGGGCACGAGCCCCAACCCGAGCCCTGACCAAGCGAGCTCCAGAATCAGCAGCAACACCTCACAAGGCAGGGCTGCTAAGCCCCCGGAGCAGGGGGGCTCTGCTAAGCAGGAGAACAGTCGCATAGCAGCCCGAAGAGACATGCTCCTGCTGCCTGCAGTCCGAGAAGCCGAGCCCACCAGAACCGCTCTCTTCATGCGGTGCGGATCCAGCTTGAGTATCGTTCCCAGGGTGGGGATTACTTCCAGGTACACGAAGAGCTGCAAGATGGTAGGACTCAGAGCAGCAGGGTTCAGGGCTTAGGGTGCTAAGAGCACTCAGAAGTCCCAGAAGGGCTGCGGAGCAAGAACCTCCTAAAAATAAATGAAAAGTCCAAGAATCGCGAAGTTGTAGATATGCCAACAGAGGCTTAGAGTGATGCTTGTAGAGCCCATGGAGCCCATAGTCGAGAGCTTGTGAGGCTTGCAGGGGTTCAAGTTTTAGAGTTTGGCATTGAAGGCACGAATTCGAACCGGTGACGCCAAGCTCAGGATTTCGGGCCTGCAGGGTTGCCCATCCTAGATACGAACAGGCAGTAATCCCAGGGATCAACCCCTGCCAACTCGTAAAAACCTCTGAATCAAAAATTGCCAACCTGGCTGTGGCACAAGGATGGCAAGCACACTGACCTCAGCACAGCACGGGCAGTTTATGGCTGCGCGTTCGCTGGACGAGGAAAAATCTCTGAGATGCAGGGACTCTCACTCTCGAAGCACTATGCCAGGCTCGAGAGCTCATTTTGCATCCTTCCGACTAGTCAAGTCACATGCTTGTCGGTAATTCCTTAAGCCAGAGGAGGCTGCCGACTTAAATCGTTTCTAGAGCCTCTTTTTCTGGGAACAGCCACGTGAAGCCACCATGTTTGTTTGTTGGGTACTGTGCGCAGAAGCACCCCGGTCTGAGAGGGGTGCTCGCACATGCTCCGGTTGGGGGCAAACAACTTCCCCCCCAAGCATGTTGAACGTCATCCTAGCAGAGAGAGCTCTTCGTATCGCCTTGGGGCTCTACACCCTATACCCCAAAATCCTTACATCCTAAATAAAGCCCTAAACCCCTAAAGCCCTAAGCTCTTAGGCTCGCACCAGTTCGTCCTGGAGAGACGGGTCCAATCAGCGAGGGGCACGCCGGCGGCGAAGAGGACAGCGCAGGCTGCCATGAAGCCAAGCCTTGGACCATTCTGTGTTCAGGGTGCTTGGGTTTGGGGTTTAGGGTTTAGGGTTTGAGGGTTTGAGGGTTTGAGGGTTTGAGGGTTTGAGGGTTTGAGGGTTTGAGGGTTTGAGGGTTGGGTTTCTACAGTACCTGCACTTCGGAGTCGCGTGAAGGACTGGCAACTTCCGGAACTGAACCTGGGGGGAGTGGAGGGGGTGGTTGACTGGGGCATCTGAAAACCTGGACTCCCAAGGTGGAAAGTTGCAGCCGCCGAGCTTGGGTTTTTCCTTATTCTGCATCTACTCCTCAAGTTGTTTGCACAGAACATACGGAGTCAGGGCTTATGCTCAGTTTGTCGTGACTCGTGCCGATGCTGACTTTCGACAGAACACGGCCAGGCGACTTGAAATCCCGGAAGCCTTGCTCTACCTTACGAAACACTGTAAGCCCCGGCAAGCCCTGGAAAGCTAGCTTCCTAAACCGGTAAGAGTGTTTTTTTTTTTTTTTTTGTTGCGGGTGCTTTTTTGCTGTGGGTGCGGGGGCGCGTTTTTTTTTTGCTGCGGGTGCGGTGGCGCGTTTTTTTTTGCTGCGGGTGCGGGGGCGCGTTTTTTTTTTTGCTGCGGCGGGGGGCGTTTTTTTTTTGGTTGCGGGTGCCGTGGGGTCGCGTTTTTTTTTTGTTGCTGCGGGTGCGGAGCGTTTTTGCTGTGTTCTCTATATTTTACTATGAAAACCTCTATTTTCTCTAATTTTCAATAGGAAAACCTCTTTCTTCTCTATATTTGAATAGGAAAACCTCTTTCTTCTCTATATTTGAATATGAAAACCTCTGTTTTCTCTACATTTAGTATGAAAACCTCTACTTTAATTCGAAAACCTCTATTTCTCTATATTTTATAACGAAAACCTCTATTTCTCTCTATTTTTGTCTATATCGTCATAGTTTTCCTCTATATTTACTGAGGAAGACATGAGAGAGGAATACATGAGAAACTTATTGTCTGTGTTATCTCAATGTGTGACTTGCAATTAAAAGTGTTTTGTTCCTCTTGTCCTGTTTTAATAGGAAGCCTATTATTTTCTCTGTCTCTGAATAGGCAAACCTCCATTGTCTTAACATTTGAACATGAAGACCTCTATTCTCTATATTTGAATATCAAGACCTCTACATTTTGATATGAAAACACTTTGTATGTTCGCTATATTTTCGTATGAAAGCCTCTATTTCCTCTATGTTGTCATAGGAAACATCTAATTTCTCTATATTGTATAGCGAAAACCTCTATTGTTCTATAGTTTTTTTTATTTTGTCAGTATTTTCAGACATCTTCTCTTTATTTCACGAGGAAGACATGAGAGGAATACATGAAAAGCTAATTCTCTATATTGTCATAAGAGTACATGCATTATCTCTATCTGTGACTCGTAGACAACAAGTGTTTTTGTTCATGTCTCATAACACAAGCTCTATTTTCTCGATTCTTTACTAAGAAGACGTTTATATCTCTATTTTAAACGGAAAATTCAACTTCCACTATAAGGTCTGAATTTTCGTAGGAAAGCAGGCATATATTCCCTCTTTTTTCAGGGGGTTGGGGGCTGCGCAGACCGCCGCATTTGAAAACACAATGCGCGCATCATGGGTTTGGAAGGGATTCGTAAGCTTTGAAGCAGGCTTGCCGGCTAAAAAAAGCGGGGGGGTTGGGGGGGGGCGCAGCCCCCCCCCATTTGCAACACAATGCTCGCATCATCATGGGTTTGGAAGGGATTCGTATGATTGAAGCAAGCTTGCCCGGCTAAAAAGCGCAGCCCCCCCCCACCCCCCATTTGCAACACAATGCTCGCATCATCATGGGTTTGGAAGGGATTCGTATGATTGAAGCAAGCTTGCCCGGCTAAAAAGCGCAGCCCCCCCCCCCCGCCCCTTTCAAGCGGAGGGGAATGCTCTCATGATGGTTTCGGAAAGGATTCATTTGCTTTGAAGCAAGCTGGCATGGCTTTAAGAAGCGGGGGGGTTGGGGGGGGGCGCAGCCCCCCCCAATTTGCAAACCCAATGCTGGCATGATAGGCTTGGACAGGATTCATATGCTGAGAAGCTAGCTGGCACGGTTTTAAAGAGGGGGGGGGTCGGGCGGGGTGCAGCCCTCCCTCCACCGTTAGCAAACACAATGCTCGCATGATGGCCTTGGGAAGGATTCAGTGCTTTGAAAACGCTTGCACAGTTTAAAGGAGGGGGGGGGCGTTGGGGACGGGGTTGGGGAGGAAATTGCAAAAACAAATGACCTGGGGGAAGGGGGGGGGGGCGCGTTTTTTTTTTTGCTGCGGGTGCGGGGGCGCGTTTTTTTTTTGCTGCGGGTGCGGGGGGCGCGTTGTTTTTTTTGCTGCGGGTGCGGGGGCGACACGCGCGAGGTCACTCACTCACCTGGGGGGTGGGGAGGAGGGGGGGGGGGGGGCGCGTTTTTTTTTTTTGCTGCGGGTGCGGGGGCGTTTTTTTTTTTGCTGCGGGTGCGGGGGCGCGTTTTTTTTTTGCTACGGGTGCGGGGGCGACACGCGCCAGGTCACTCACTCACCTGGGGGGGTGGGGAGGAAGCGGGGGGGGGGGAGGGGGGGGGGGGTGCTTTTTTTTTTGCTGCGGGTGCGGGGGCGCGTTTTTTTTTTTTTTTTGCTGCGGGTGCGGGGGTGCGTTTTTTTTTTTTTTTTTTTTTGCTGCGGGTGCGGGGGCGACACGCGCCAGGTCACTCACTCACCGGGGCGGCCCCCGAAAAAAGCACCCACAGCAAAAAAGCACCCACAACACAAACAAAAACACGGGTTCCCTTCCTAAACCCTAAACCCTAAACCCTAAACCCTAAACCCTAAACCCTAAACCCTAAACCCTAAACCCTAAACCCTAAACCCTAAACCCTAAACCCTAAACCCTACTGAATCCTGCCACAACAAGGGGCGTAAGCAAGCCATTCACGCTGGCCGTGGTGTTGGAGGAGCTTTTCCAGGTAAGGGTCGCCAGGCCGACGGCCAGAACAGCGCCTCATTCCCGGGCTGATGCCCCTAAGCTCCTCTAAAGCTACTCTAAAGCCCTAAAGCCCTAAAGCCCTAAAGCCCTAAAGCCCTAAAGCCCTAAAGCCCTAAACCCTAAAACCCTTCAAACCCTAAACCCTAAAACCCTTCAAACCCCGACTGCACCTGAACGTATCGTGAGGTCGTTGAAGCAAGGCGCTGAGCCCGGCTTCTGGCAAGCCCGTCAGCGCCGAAAGAAGCGACCCCGCTTTCGCGAACTGCGAGACCAATGTGGCCATCATGAGGAGCCTAACAGGGTTTAGGGTTTAGGGTTTAGGATTTGGGATTTAGGGCTTGGGGTTTAGGATTTAGGGTTTAGGGTTTCGGGGGGGGGGGGGGGGGGGTTTGTGAAAATCATGGCTTTGGGTTCAGAGCTTGGGTTGTAGGGCAGAAGCAAGTCCGGGGCCGGAGTTGCGTGTTCGAAAAAATAGGCCCACAAGACCCAGGGCCCGAGCTAAAACTTATCGGAGTCTTGCAGGAAGCCGCGAGAGCTCGAAAAAACAGCTCAAACAAACAAGTATTTCCGGGAGCCGAAACGAAAATGCCACCGCCAGAGTTCCAACAAACACTTTCCTGAAGATCGAAGCCGCTCTCCCGGCCCGCCTCCGAACGACCAAAGCAAATCCTGTCAGCACCTTTTCGCTAAACCCTAAAGCCTCCCTCAACCCTAGCCTCCCCCATCACCAAGGCAACTCGGTTCACTTCTTTGCGACGCGAGGGGGAGTTGACAACTGCAAGGTGTATCGAAAAGATCAGGGGATAAAGATTCTTGGGATTTTAAGCGCTTTTAAGGGCTCAAAACAAACGCTTTCAAGTGCAACGTTGCCAGGGCGCAGGAAGAGCGAGGACAGCACGGCCCGTCCTGCAGAGAGCCACGAAGCTTCACCCTGAACCCGCAGCCCCAAAACCCCCCAGTTCTTAAGGGACTTAGGGCCCTCTAATGCCCTATATATACCCTTTAAGGGATTATAGAGGGTACTCATTCCCTCATTCCCTACTCAGAACCAGCCGGAAAATCAGAGGCGTGTGAGGTCTCGGCTTGGATCTTCGTCAGATTCAGATGTCGGCTAAGCTTTAAACTTTCTCTGGCCTCTTCGTGTGTGCAAGGTTTTAGGGTTTAGGGTTGAGGGTTTGGTTTAGGGTTTAGGGGGATGATTTAGGGTTAAGGGCAGTGTGATAGCCATTGCGAAAAGCACCGGATCCTGACGTGGTGACGAGGGGGTATGACAACAACAAAAACAAGGGAGGCCTTGGAGTACTCGGGCGTACTCGGGCGAAGGATCAGAGCTCTACGTATGGACGGCGCGCTCACGGCCTTTGATGATCACTACCTCAGGTCATCCATCTTCAGGACAAAAGTCAAGAGCCAATACTGCATCCACCAGAAATCCGCCTCAGACGTTGGCTTAGATGTCAAGGATCAAATTCCAAACGCACAAAAATAAACAGCTGGACCACGAGCTAGCGGCCGGCGTAGCCAAGGAAGTACTTGACAGTTCATGGGTTGATGCAAGGATGGTTGGAAGTACTTACCTTGCAGTGCTTGCTGATTCAGGTTAACTTGATCAGAACCTCACCTATAACTTCTAAGTCATGAGTCTCTGTTGACCTTTAGCACCTGGCGCTTTCCAACTGCTTTGAAAGCTATCGTTTTGGACTGGGGTCGCGAAGGGCTTTGCGGCTTACTTGAGGGCGCAAGATTTCGAGCTTGGGTGAGGGTCGTTGGGCTACCTTCCCTAAACCCTAAACCCTAAACCCTAAAACCTAAACCCTAAACCCTAAACCCCTACCTTGCGGCTCAAACCTGCCCGTCTTGGAGGTCGAGATGCAGATTGGGACAGGAAATGCGACTCCGAACTCTCAAAGCCCCTCAGCTTCTCCTGATCAAAGCTCACAAATGCCCCAAACCCAACACTCAAGAAAGGGCGCAACATTGGTAAGCCCCGAACTTGTGTTGAAGGATGTTGTAGTGTGAGGTCGAGGCGCAAGACTTTTCTACGAACAAACTCTGTTTACCCCCTAACCCTAAACCCTAAACCCCAAACCCCAAACCCCAAACCCTAAACCCTAAACTAAACCCTAGACCCCAAACCCTAAACCCTAGACGATTTGGGGCGCCTCCGGATCCCAGCCGTCGCTCGGCCAGGGTTGCGTAGCTCACCTCTGGACCGCCTACTCTAGGGGCCTTCATGGGGTTTAGGGCTTAGGGTTTAGGGTTTAGAGTTTACGGTTTGGGGATTAGGGACAGACAGGGGCCTGAATGATTCGAACACGTTGTGTTTTTTTTGGGGGGATTGTTGTAGTATAACACCCCAGGGACCATAAGGGAATGCCAGTAGACATGATTGGGACCCTATATACGGTCTTAGATGAACTTACTATTGCGGTCGAAGGAATTCCACAGACCCTAAACCCTAAACCCTAAACCCTAAACCCTAGCACATGTCAAGACTTCACAACCATGGAATCATTACTTAGTTGCTGAGTTCACAAGGCCCCAAAAAGTGTACACTTTCAGTTCTATAGGGGATTATGGTATCCCAAAAGGTGTAAAGTGTACTTTCCCTTGCTGTCCCTTCGTAATTATACAATAATCACGGCCCCCAAAACCGTATTCTACTTATTCAAGTCCCTATAATACTTGCTGTTGGTTAGTAGGGAATGCGGGAATGAGGTACCGTGTATAATCCCTTAAGGTGCAAAAATGGGGCCCTAATTCCCTCACTCCTGCTAACCAACAGGAAGCTGTTCAGGCCCCTCCATTAAAGCCTTGTCCTGTCTGCGGAGGAGTGGCCACCCTCCCAGCGCGACGTGACTCGTCAACGACCAGATCGGTCACAACGTGAGCCTGCAATAGCTTAGGTTTAGGGTTTGGGGTTTGGGGTTTGGGGTTTGGGGTTTGGGGTTTGGGGTTTAGGGTTTAGGGGTTGTGCAAGCTCAGCGTGGAATCGCTTCTTGCCTGCGGCAGCTCTGTTGCAATTCATACCCACTTGAGCTCCGTGCAGCCTGCAACCTTCACTGGCACGGGGCATCGGGAGGCCTGGAAGAGCAGCAAGGCCCAGGACACCAGCATCACGACAGCGGATGGAACCTGGATGCTGACTCGAGCAAACCCTAAACCCTAAAAGCCCTAAGCCCTAAACCCTAAAAACCCTAAACCCTAAACCCTAAACCGATGCTTACTCGTGGATCAGCACCTTGAAGGCTCAACTGTGAGTACATGCTAAGAGCCCTACGCAGCTCTGGACCTCCAAGCCGCTGAAACGCTGGATCTCCAATAGGTAAACTGCCACCCTAAGCCTCAAAAGTCATAAGCCAACATCTCTTGATGTCACTGAGCACCACGCGAAGCCAGAAGGGGCCGAGGTGTAAGGCAGAGCCAAGAAGCCTTGGAATCTCTCACTTCAGATGGGCCTCAGGTGTTGGGATGAGGGACCAGGTGTCTGCTTCATAAGTAGCAGAGGGCTCTACCAGAGCTACAGTTCATTTTGAAAAGGGAGCTTTTCAGCCGGACAACCCGAATATCCGACCTGGTACTCAGCAAAAAGCTGCTTGGCAACCACTCTGGATCCCGCACAGCCCTCAGATTCTCTAGTATGGGTATCTGGGCCTCGAAGCCCGAACAAAAAAGAGTCCTGTCCCTACCAGTACCTTCTCAGGCGCACAGGGGCGGGGGGAAGTTAACTTCAGAAGCAAAATGCATTGCAAACTATCAAAGTGGTGAATACCTCTCTGACTCTTTAAATCTTGTATTCTGATACAAAAAACAAAGTTATAATACTAATAAATTGCCTGGGGGGCTGCAAGTTCCACAAGCCCCACTTTTTGGGGGGTAGAAGGCTTCAGGTCCCTTTCCAGCCCTTCGGACCCGTTGATTGCAACAAATCTCTTCCTTCTCCTCAAGCTCTGAATGGCTGAGCCTTTCAGAATAAAGCGTATGGTCTCAAACCCTAAACGGCCATAAGCCCTATCCCTGTGGTCTTCCGAAGTCTGGGATGCTTTTGGAAGGACGCCCAACAAGAATCCTAATTCAGAGAACCACGAACTTCCGCAAAAAGAGTCTTCAGAGCTGTGTTTTTAGGCTCACGGGAGCTGCAAAGCCGGCCAGGGATGAGCCAGGAAGCCCCCGCCGATGGCTGTGCCCGTGACCTCAGCTATCCCAAACAATTAAATTTTGAACTCAGAACCTATATGAAGTAGTGTTTATATTTCTTGTACTCTCAAAAGGACACCCGATATATACACTCACCAATGTTAACAAGGAACCTTATATACACTCACCAGTAACAAAAATATAAACCCTACTTCATAGCCCTCGACCACCTGAACTACGACTAAAGTCCAGCAACAGTGAATACCCCGAAAAACTTCAAATCCTAAAACCCAAGCCTCCGGTGAAGACTCACCAGGGTTTCAACATCATTCGGCTGTTGGATTTCAGTCTTAGGGTTTGGGGTGCTGTGTGTCGTGTTTAAGCATCATGTGTCGTGTTTAAGCGTCATGTAAGGTTTCGGGCTTTGAGTGTAGAAGCCTTTGGGGGTTGAGAGCGAAGTTTCGTTAGAATCCCGCGCAGCGCAGAGACACGAGCAACAGGCTTGGGTCAGGATGTAGCAGCAGCATGTCCGGTGTTCAGGCTTTTGCGTTTCCCCCTGAAGCCCAAGCGGGGGTTTACGAATATCGGGGACCCCTAAAATAGACCCCGAAATAGTAGGACTCCCTAGTTGTAAGGACCCTAGTTAGGCACCCCATAATTTCGGAAACCCCAAGTGCTTGCCCTGTACCAGAAACACTGCAAACCCTAAACCCTAAACCCGACCCTAAACCCTAAGCCCTAAACCCTAAACCCTGTACGGCAAGGGATTCACCCCTGGTGGCTTGGGATGTTCCGCCTTATACTAACAGTCCTTAATAGGGATTCTCGTACCCTAGTATAATCCCTATTAAGTGTTGTTGGTATAATGTTGGACCTGCTTTAATAATGTAACCCCCCCTCCTCCCCCCCCGCCCTCCCCCCCCCCCCCCCTCCAACAGTCGCGACCCTGAATAAAAAAAGACCCCAAACAGTCAGGGGGGGGGGGGGGGGGGGGGGCGGGTCAGGAGATTGAGTGTTGTGTGATGAGTTGTTAATCTCAAACTAAGAACCTGACCTCAAAAACCATTTTAAAAAACAGGCCCGGCCCGAAAACTTTTCATTATAGCGGACCCCCAAAACAGAGGGTCCAGATCCTGAATAGCCGGAAAACTTTTCATAATAGCGGCCCCCTAGAATATTGCGGGTGCAGCATTAAGGGTTAACATTCCAACCTGGCGGCTTAAGCTACAAAGTCGAAGTCGAAGTGCATCAGTGGCATCTAAAGCTATGGGGGTTTCCGAAATTAGGGGTACCTTATTGGGGTCCTTATTAGAAAGGAGTCCTACTATTTGAGGTCTAGATAAGGGGTCCCTTATCTTCCGCAAACCCCCAGGTGAGAAAAGGATCTTGGAAGTGTGAGGCTGAGACATGCTTCGACCAAAGACTAAGACCCCACAAAGCTCTCCAGGCCCAACTTGGCCCCAAACCCTAAACCCCAAACCCCAAACCCCAAACCCTAAACCCTAAACCCTAAACCCTAAAACCCGCTAAGTTTGCCCGAGCGTCAAGGACTGAAGCCGCAGCGTCCTTCTGATTCCAGCCTTCGCCGCGCCTGAACTCGCCAGTCCCAGAAGCCTACTCAACCCTAAGCCGCCTAAGACCTGGCTCCTAACGGAATTCTGAACCCTGCCCCCCCCCCCCCCCCCCCAAAACGAGACCCTAAACCAAAAGTGAATAAAGGTTTAAGGCCGTGCTCAGAAATCGGGTCCGGGCGAAGATTGCATCACCATCTCGAGCTTAGGGTTTGGGGCTCATGAGCCCTTAAACCCCACCATGAGGTTCAGATCTTCTCGACTCGTATAGGCTCTCTAGAGTTTCAGTAGTTCGGTCTTCGAGCGGAGAGTCTCCCAGTTACTCAAGGGTCCAAGATTCACTGGCTTAAGCCACATCATGGTCGGGTTTAGGGTTTAGAGTGTAGGGTTTAGGGTTTAGGGTGCCCTTGACATTCCGCAACTCTAAGTCCGTAATTCAACGCTAGTGTTCTGTGTTTTTGAGGCGGTGGGAGGGACTTGAGTCCTAACTCAACCGAGGTTGCCCAGTTGCCTAAGAAGTGCGCACATTTCTATTTAAAGGGTTGACAAGGGGTCCAAACCCATTAAAACCCCTCAAAGGGGAATTTGCTGGTCTCAAGTCCAGGGAGCATGGCGAGCTTACCCACGGCGCGTTCACGCGCATATGCTGCTGCAAAGCCTGTGGCGGCAAGGAATTCTACCAGGGTGCTGCTAGCATGACAGGGCGCCCGCTTCGCCCCAACAGGGGGAACATGAAAAAACGCCCAGTAATCCTGCCCGTTGTTTGTCGCCCCAGGATGCGTGACATTTGTGAATTGCAGCTACCTCCTGAGGATCTCAAGAGCGAAGAGGGGGAGAGAGTTTAATAACCCTGTAAGAGTCTTCAACCCTTTGTCCCTAAACCGAAGGGGTCCTTCCTAAACCCTGTAAGTCCTGAATCCCATGTCCAGAAGGCAGATCATGTGCCTTGCAAGGCAAGCAAGGAGAGGTTACTGGGTGGAAGTTCTAGGCCTCCCGATGCGAAGGGCTCGGGGGTATTTAGGGTGGTCAAGGGTTCGCGGCACCCCTCAACCCTAAAATCCTTGACCCTAAGCCCTAAGCCCTAAGCCCTAAGCCCTAAGCCCTAAGCCCTAAACCCTAAACCTACACCAGCCCTCCAAACGATACCGCGGAACGTTGAAGCTGCGGAGCTTCAATCCCGCGGCTTCAATGGTTAAAACCCTGCCGTCAAGACTTATACCCTAAGCCCTGAACCCTACACCCTACCCTACACCCTAAGCCCTAAGCCCTAAGCCCTAAGCCCTAAGCCCTAAGCCCTAAGCACTAAGCCCTAAGCCCTAAGCCCTAAGCCCTAAGCCCTAAGCCCTAAACCCTAAACCCTAAACCCAACTTGGGAAACTGGAAGATCTCCCGAACAATGAAGCAGCGCTCGGGAAGAGCAGCCCCCCAAGGAATCGGGCTTAGACTGTAATAATCGTACGTAGGGTTGGGGCTGGGATGTTCCCCTTATACTATCAGTCCTTAAAAGGAATTAGTCTAGGTGGTACCTGTGAAGGACTGCTAGTATAAGGGGGAACGTCCCAAGGTTGGGGCTGTGTCAAGGCCTCTTGTCCCGGGAGGGAGCAGCGGTTTCGGCACATGCCTGAGCGAACCACGAGGGGAGGCAGAAGATGGCCCGAGCACTTGAAAGGTTCAGGGTTTGGGTTTAGGGTTTGGGGTTTAGGGTCTAGGGTCCACGGTCTAGGGTTGCCTGGAGGTTTTAGCTCCAAGACTCTAAGCGACCCAGCCATGAAACCCACAAGCTCTAGACTCAGGAGACGCGTTAGCCCAGCAGGCGCCCCCGTTCGAATCCTGAACTTGACATGTTGAACCCCCAAATATGTTTTAAGAGCAGAGCTTCTGGTGTCAGGGTTTAGGGCTTTCGGATGTCAATGGAGTTAATGTGCATTTTAGGGCTTTAGGGTATTTAGGGCTTCTTTTTTGAGAAGTAAGGACAGGGTGGGTGGCAGGTGGTCTTGGGGGGGCTCTTGAACTCTCACCAAGCTTGATCAGGCTAGGGGTCGCAGTCGTATTCCAACACGTAAGCGCAGAATCCGTTTCCCTCTGCAGTGCTTGGATGGTGTTGGGTTGCCAGGTGACGAACACATGTTACATGTCAAACCATGCAGCCTCCACCCTACATGTTGAGGCAAGGGGCCCCGGTCGTTTTCGGTCAAATGCCAGGCCTTTGTGGGCAGGCAGCTGCGGAACTTGCGCCTTCCACCAGAGCTTTGTTGCTCTGGATTCTGGGGTGGGGGCGGGGGTTACTGTACCGGGCGTCATCGGGTTTTTACAAGCTGGGGTGACAGGGGCATTAAAGGTTTGTACAGTCACCCTACAGAACGGATCTATGCTTTGTCAAACCGAGTAAGGTGTGTTGGGGCGGCTTAGTGATTTTGGACGCAGAGCCTAAGCAGTGTCTTCGGACAGGGGATCTGGACCAGGTTTGGGCTGCGGGAGTCACTGAAGGGTGTCTACCATGCCGTAGATTCCGATGTGACGTACCTTTGTGATCGTTGTCGTTTGATTGTGTGTGTCTTCGTTCCAAGACGCAGTCTGACCTTTCGGCCGTGCTTCCGGCAGGACGGAAACCAACCACACAAAACCTTGTGGCTCTACCGTCAAACCCCTACTAGTCTCACAAACGAAGGCTCTTGAGTTTCTCAGAGGCCCGCAGCAGAACTCGTTTAGGACCCGCATATAGGGTCTGCCCAAGTTACGACTTTTTCGGCTCTGGGCCTGCCAGCTGAAAGGCAGGCAGCCGCTCCACCGCACAGAAGGCATTGAGGCCAT